CTTGGATCGATCCTGTGGGTGGGCTCACCACCTCGTTGCTTCCGCTGCAACTGCTACTGCTAATCTCTGTGACGCACGCCCCGTGGCGTGCGGCCGTTTTTTCTTCCCGCCATGCGCCCCGAGGCGCGCGGCGGTTTTCTGCCCGCCGTGCGCCCCGAGGCGCGCGGCGGTTCTCTGCTCACTGTGCGCCCCGAGGCACGCGGCGGGCTTCTGCCCCGTCACTCGGCGCGTCGCCCTCGAGAGGCGCTGCGCCGAGCGACGGGGACCCGCGCGTCGGCCCCGTCGCCACCCGCATCGGCCGCGTCGCCGCCCGCAGCGGGCCCGTCGCCGCGCGCAGCGGCTCCGTCGCCGCCCGCAGCGACCCCGTCCCCGCCCGCATCGGCCCCGTCGTCGCCGCCGGCGGCCCCGTCGCTGCTCCTTGCGGCCCCGTCGTCGTCCTTGCACGGCCCCGGCCCCGCCCCTGCGGCCCCCGAGGGTCGCCTCGACGGACGACGGGAGGGGCGACCTGGGGGAGGGGGGCGGGCGCCGCCACTTCTGCCGCCTGTTGTGGCGCACTGGGAGGCCGCGCATCGGTCCCCCCCCCCCCCCCCCCCCCCCCCCCCCCCCCTCTCCCCCCGTAACCTCCCTACCCGCCATCCCGCCCTGCCCTGTTTTAGGGTTTGGGGGTGGCGAGTGGGGGGGTGGCGGGTGTGTGGTCTCCCCTCCTCCTCCTCCTCCTCCTCTGTCTCCCACTGCTGCAGCTGCCGCTGAGGGGGGTGGGTGTGTGGGATTTGACGGAGTGGTGCTAGGGGGTGGGGTAAGAGTGGAGCTAGGGGTGTAGCAGCGGGTGTGTGTCAGGGGGAGTGGGATCGTTTGGGGAAGCTGTATGGAGGTTGTCGTCGTGTCGCCAGCAGCACCTGTATTCCGGGGACTTCGTCCGGTAGCCCTGTCGTAGCCAGCTGTGCCAGCCGCCCGTGGGTCCGTTGCTCGTCTGCCGCTACTTTAGCCGCGGGGCCTGTTACTCCTGTATTCCGGGGACATCGTCCGGTAGCCGCTGTGCCAGTCTGCCTCCTGTTGCCCGTGTGTCTGCAGCTTCAGCCGTCGCCTCCTATCTCCTCTCCTCTCACTCTCTCTCCTCCTCCTCGCTTGCCCGTTGTGACTACAACTAGCTTTGCTCATAATTGTACCCTTTAAACTATTGCTTCTTGAACTTGTGCTCAGAATGTGTGGTGACATTGTGATCCACCCTGAGCTTGTACTGCTTTGCTTCCTCTGCTGATTACACCCCACTTTGGCTATGGGGGTGTGTCAGAATGTTATCTTATGCTCTAGCCTGTAGTGGGGTGCTCTATAGCGAGTACAACCCTTCTAGGGTTTGCTATTTGTATCCCCATTCTTGCTAGTGCAATCCTCTTCTTTCTTCTAAACTTCACACCCCCCTCCTTCAAACTCCATCCAGAACTCGCCACCTCTTCATTTTCACGTCTTGGAAATTTCGCCTACCGTTTTATTCACTCACTCAGCTGCTTCTCTTCTATGGCTGTTCCTAAATTTTTGACTCTGCCTGCGCGTTCTAAATATTTATCTCGTACTGTTCTTGCATCCTCCCTCTTGCAGGCTATTGAAAGTGTGCTGTGGCGGACGGTTCTGCTTTTTAGTTTGACTCGCCGTATGAAGCTGGCGATTAGACACCTTGTCACACCCCACGCCCACTGGTAAAAAAATAAATAGCTCAGGTGAGTTTTGGATTCTCCTAAAAACGCCTTGTCTACTGGGCTTCTGAGTAGTTGTTTCTTTGCAGAATACTAGTGCTTCTGACAACGCTATATTTCCGCGACTTCCGTGATTATCGCCACGAGTCTCAGTATTATTATCAAGCTGACATTTTCCAGAAGTTTTTTCCGCCATCTTATCGAGCAAATCATGGTTCTTCTCACAATGCAGTTACCTTCATAACAAGACAATGACTGATAGGTAGGTTCATGTCGTTTACGTTTGCTGCGTTGGCCTTTATTTGCAGCGTGTGCTACTGTGTGCAGAACCATTGTCTTGCTTGAAATAAGATATTGTGTATCATTATTGGATGATCATTTTGATGTGTGGAAGTTGTTGTGAAAAAATGAGGAATGGATGAACTAGGAAAGAGGTGGGTACAAGTACGAAAACCTAGAAATGTTGTACCCCATATTGTCTACCCCACTACAGCCTACACAGACTATAGCATATGAGTTTGAAACACCCCCATAGGCAAAGTGGGGGAGAACATGAGGTCACAAGACCAGTCAAGCAAAGCAAAGCAAGCTCAAGGTGGATCACAACGTCACCACACATTCCGAGCACAAGAGCAAGGCCACAAGGCCAGTTCACATGCAAGATCATATATAAAGGTAAACAAGCAAGTGCAGGTATAGAAAGATCACAGTACAAGCAAGGTCAAGAAGTGAGCAAGTGAGGCCAAGTAGGCACAAGACCTAGCATCGTACAGAAGCGCTGATGATCACAAGGCGGAAGTGCCTTGGTAAAGATATCAGCACTGTTGGCCTCAGAGGCCACGTAAGCAAGGCGCAGCTGACCACGCTGCTGCAGCTCACGAGCAAGGAAGTAGCGAAGAGCAATGTGCTTCGTTCTATGCTCCAGTCTGTGCTCTCGACACAAGGCCAGCATAGCCTTGTTATCTATGTACAGAACTAGAGGAGAACGAGGCGGCTCTCCTAGGTCAGTCAGCAGGTAGGTGAGCTAGCGTAGCTCCTATGCAGACATGGCCCCCGCGTAGATCTCAGCCTCACAGCTGGAGCCAAGAACAGAAGACGAGCGGGTAGACCGCCACGAAACAGAGTCGGAGCCAAGGCTGAAGGTGTAACCCTGTGACGACCGCTGCGTAGCCTGGTCGTCAGCCCAAGAAGCGTCTGCGTGACCTGTGAGGACCACTCAATGTCGCCCTCCAAGCACTAGCCCCATGCCCGACGTGCTGCACAAGTAGCGCAACACCCTCTTTGCTGCAGCCATGTGCTCTGGTCGGTGTCTCCCAGGAGCAACATAGCGTGCCAAGATGCTAAGAGGGTATGCGAGGTCAGGTCGTGTGCAGGTCATCAGGTACATGAGGTAGCCAACAAGCTCTCGGTACGGGCCACTCGGCTCTACGGACTCATCTGAAGGCAGAGCTGAGAGCGAGTGGAGAGTAGACAGAGGAGTGGCCTGAGGCGAGGAGTACGTAAAGTTGAAGCGCTGAAGGACCTGCTGCACCATGTGTGACTGAGTCAGGGTAATGGTGCGCTGTGCTCTATCCCGGGTGATATGCAAGCCAAGGTAGCTGCGCAGTTCACCCAAGTCTGTGCACGTGTGTCTCTTCTGCAGCTCCGACTTCACGTGGGCGAGTCCAGCAGTATCAGCTGTGGGAAAGTCCAAGTCGTCGACGTAAACGAGGATGTAGAACGGCGGCAAAGAGGTGTCGGTGCGCAGAAACAGCGACGGGTCGGCAGTAGAAGGAGCAAACCCAAGAGCCGCAAGCGTAGTTCTCAGTGTGTCGTGTCACTCACGAGGTGCCTGGCGGAGACCGTAGACTGGCCGCCGGAGGCTCCACTGGGTACCAGGAGGAAACCACCCAGTGAAGCCAGGTGGGTGGCGCAGTCAGATCTCCTTTTGCAGGCTGCCCTGCAGGAAAGCTGTGCTGAAGTCAAGAGAGTGAAGCTCGTAGTCACGCTGAGTGGCTATGTGCAGCAGCACCCAAAGAGTGGTCATCTTCGGGGTGGGAGAGAAGGTCTGAAAGTAGTCAAATCCTTGTCGCTGACTGAAGCCTCGAGCCACGTAACGCGCCTTGAAGATAGGCGGAGAACCTGGCGGCCGCTTCACCCTGAAAATCCACATGCCACTGACGATGTTCGCCCCAGGTAGGGGAAACTCGTCGACGTAGGCGCTTGTGGACTTCCAGGAAGCCTTCTCTGCGTCCATGGCTGACTGCCACTGTGAGGAGTAGGGACCCTCGATCGCCTCAGCGTACGATCGAGGAGGGGCGCAGTGCGGTAGATTAAGAGATGGTAGTAAGGCACCGACTCGTCAAAGGTGACGTCTTGGGAGGACAGAACACGGCGCGAGGTGGGGTGGTAAAACTGCCAACCAGGCGCGTCAGGGGGGAAGCCAAGGAAGACGCAGGGAACAGCACGGGGGGACAGCTTGTCCAAAGACAAGTCGCGGACAAACGCCCGAGATCCCCAGACCTGAAACACAGACCCTTTTGCAACCTTCCCCGTCCACCGCAAGGTGGGGGAGGTCTCTGCTAAAGCAGATCCGGGGCTGAAGGTTGAGCTGATGCGTTGCGTACTGGACTACAAACGGCCACAGAAAATGGGGAGCAGCCGCATGGATCATGGACGTACGAGCGACATCCATGACCATGCCAACTCGGCACTCAGCAATCCCATTTTACTGTGGAGAGGCCAGAAGTATGAAGGTCTGGCGGATGCCCTGTGCACGAAAAAAGGCTCCGAGACGAGCAGAGGAAAACTCCCCGCCTCTGTCAGAGTGCAGACGCAGAACAGGAAAGTCCGAGCCGGAACTCTCTCTGAGCTGGAGACGAGCTTCGCAGATCTAGTCGATCAACACCTCAGTGACGTCACCCTTGCTGCGCAAGGGGAACACCGTGGTGTAACGCGAGTAGTCGTCAACCACCAACAGGAAGTAACGCTCGTGACCCTGGCCACGGACGCGGGCGGGGCCCCACACGTCCATGTAAAGAGTCTGCAGGGGAGCCTCTGTCGGAGGAAACTCGGAGGAGTGAGGGGCGGCGCGCTGCCGCCCCTCGACGCAGAGAACGTAGGTAGGAGCAGGCCCCAGAGGGAGGGGAGGGAGGGACCGGGGGAAACCAGAGACAAGGACACGGGAGGCCATGCCTCGGAGACGAGGCAAGGAGGGGTGACCAAGGCGGTGGTGCCAGAGGAGAGTCTGGTGGGACAGGAGACGCTACGAGTAGGGAGCAGACTCAGGACCAGACTTAGACGCTGCAGCAAACACCTGACTCGACGCAGCTACCTGACCAAAGGGGGCTGCCGGACACAGAAAGAAGCGAGCAAGGACAGGACCCCCAGAGGGGTCCGCTAGGGAGACGGCAACCGGCCGACTAAGCGGCGTAAGCGTGGTGCGGTCTCGAAAGAAGGAGCGGGAAGCACCCGAGTCAAGGGTGAAGGTGTGTAAGGCCTGAGCCGACGTGGTACCTGAGAGAGCAAACTCACCAACACCTGGGGCAGCAGACGCACTAGAACCTAGAGCAGCAGCCTCACCAGCACCTAGAGCAGCAGCCTCAATGCCCGAGTCAGGCGTAAGACACAAGTAACAGTCACCCTCATCACTAGTAGCCACAGCATACATGGTAGCAAGAATAGCATCATATTCAAGATCAAAGATAGCAACCCCCGCCCTAGGCAGGTCTCCCCAGCGAGGGATCTCAGTGGAGTCAGGGAACTGGTGACGTCAAGCGTCCGTCAGGCGGCCAAAGCAGCGCTGGGTGGAGTGCGAGCCCCAGCATTGCTCACCATCGCGGTCTCCGGTACGGAGGACGTAGGTACAGGGACCAGTACCCCCACCTCGCTGACGCACAGCATACCACTCACGAAGCTGCTGGGGGGACAGGGTCTCACGAGTGCGCTGCTCCTGCTGGCGCTGACCTCCACCTGAGCCGCCCCGCTGCGCAGAGCCACCCCGACTAGCTCCACCTCCTCCGCCGCCACCTCCGCCACCGCCGCCACTGCCTCCTCCTCCGCTCCCACCGCCACCGCTGTGGCTGCCTCCGCCGCCACCTCCGCCTCTGAAGCCCCCACCCCCGCCACCACTCCCACAACCACCCCCACTCCCTCCACCTCCTCCACATCCACCTCCACCGCCCCCGCCAGCCCCTCCAGCGCCCTTGCCCCCCTTGCCCTTGCCGGTGCGGCGTCGCCCGCTAGGGGCAGACGCAGCGCCGACCGACTCGGTGCCAACGAAGGCGACGGCAGCAGTAGAGGCAACAGAGGGCAAAAGGGGAGATGGGGACCACCCCTCAAAGAGAGGGGCACGTGGGTCACCTCTAGAGGCTCCTATAGCGACTATACTCTTCTCTGCTGCCAGGAGGCGCTCCTCGAGGAGGTTAACGGTGAGTGTGGTGGGGCAAACTGAGAGGAAGTGGTCCCTGACTAAACGAAGGGAGTCAGGGAGCCGGGTGACTATGTAGTAGAGGGTGATGTACATGGGGGGAGGGTTCTTGGCACAGAACTCAGCAGGAAGCGCAGCGCGGTAGCGAGTGTCACTAGTATGAAGGTGCGTAATGAGGTCAGCGACGGTCTGAAAGGCAGCAAGGTCAGGGAACAGGTACGGCAGTATGAGGCGGCTAAGAGCAGTAGTGGCAGGGGAAGAGTAGCGTGCAACTACAGCGTCGTACAAGGTCTCAGCACTCTTGTACTGACTAAAGTGCGCACGCTCAGGGGTCGGTATGTGGCGACGCACAGCAAGACGGGCAGCAGCATCGCGTGTGACCCACTGTGAGCGAACAGTGCTGTCAGCACCAGCAGGCGGGGCAGGAGAGGCACCAGAGGTGAGATCGAACAGGGAGAGTCCGTCTGCCCTATCGCACTGTAGGAAGAGCTGTAGGTCATCGACCCAGACCTCGAAGTCAACAGCACGACCCTCAGCATCAAAGGTAAGGACACTGGGGGTAGCCATGACAGCAGCGGTCTAGCAGAGAGTGCTCTCACCAGTCCGGGTTGGTAGGGCCGGGGCGGACCGGTAGGAACAGGGCTGCAACGGCTGTGGCGGCGGCTCGGCGACGGCTCAGCAGCAGCGGCTCGGTATTGGCGGCTCGACGGCGGCCTCGGCGGCTCGGCAGCTCGGCGGCTCAGCGGCTCGGCGGCTCAGCGGCTCGGCGGTTCGGCGGCTCGGCGGCTCGGCGGCTTGGCGGTTCGGCGGCTCAGCGGCTCGGCGGTTCGGCGGCTCGGCGGCTCGGCGGTGAAGGGGCCGGGGAGGGGCCGAAAGAGGCGGCGACGGGGCCGCAAAGGGCGGCGACGAGGCCGCAAGAGGGCGGCGACGGGGCCGCGAAAGGGCGGCGATGGGGCCGATAAGGGCAGCGACGAGGCCGCAAGAGGGCAGCACTGGGGCCGCGACATGGCTGCGACGCGGCCGCGAGAGGGCGGCGACGAGGCCACGAGGAGCCGCTGCAGGGCCGCGACGGGCGGCGACGCGGCCGTTAAGGGCGGCGTCGGGTGTGTAGGTGGGGCCGCAAGGGGCCGCTAAGGGCGGCGCGACGGGCCGCTCAGGGGCCGTGAGAGAGGGGAGCCGCTAAGGGCGGCACGACGGGTCGCTAAGGGGAGGGCGGCACACAGGGCGCGCCTCGGTCAGGGGCGACTCGATCTCAGGGCAGGAAAAAAAAGCTCGATTTTCAGTGGTGGGCCCTAGGAAAATTTCCCACTAGGGAACCTTTTCTATACCATGTGAAGAAATGAGGAATGGATGAACTAGGTACAAGTAGGAAAACCTAGAAATGTTGTACCCCATATTGTCTACCCCACTACAGCCTACACAGACTATAGCATATGAGTTTGACAGTTGTAGGATGTTGGGGTCTGTAATTGGTAAGGCTGACCAGGTATTGTAAATATGTTTGTTTGTGATGTATGGTAGGACTTGAAATATAAGATCTACGTGTAGTTACATTCCTCAACAAATAACAATTAGTGTGTCACGATTTTAAGGTTTCATTATATCCCACTCATTTTCATTTTCTTTACGTTTTTTCTGTAGTTTAGGATTGTCTGCGTGTACTGTGGTTCTTTAATCCGTTATAAAGGGCTCCTAAATGATTTATTCCGGTTGCTCTAGTGAGGATGAGCAATGCTTGTCGTATGCTCTCGCATTGCTTGCCGAACCTGATTGAACATTGCTCATGCACACCTTCCAATGATTCTTTGAAGAAACCTCGACCGTTGAGCATTCCTCTAGATAAACCAACAACATTGTTACCCTGAAATTACTTTTAACATTGCCGAAGCATTCTATGAACAATGTTTTGGCAGTTTGAATATTGTTGAGGATCCATAACTAAATGTACTGAATGCTCGTCCTCGAAAACTCCAAGCAAATGCACCACCCCGGGATGCGCCACCCCCTGCGCCTCTCCTGCCTCCCCATCTCCGCTTCCACAAACCCGCTGCATCAGCGCAACTTCTCGCCGCACCTCCTCCCAGTGCGCCTCGCTTCTAAGCCTGTCCTTGGAGATCGTCTTGCACGCGAAACCCGCGCCTGTGAGCCGCTCGGTGCAGCGTCGCACGGTCCCAAACTGACCAGATCTTAAGGCGTGTGAGTCTAACGAGAAGAACGATTCGAGGTGGGTTGCCTGGAATGGAAGGATTTGACCATGCGACGACGGCGACCATGGCGACGTTGGTGACGAGCAGCGATCCTTGGCTTGGCCGACCCATCACAGCTGCTTTTCAGGCTGCGACAGGGCGTCGGGCTGATGTTGCTGCTTCCTCTGGGACCTTACGGTATGCGACTTGCAAGTGTCTCGCACGCTGTTGTGATCTGTTGGTGCTTGAAGAGAGAAGTGGGCCATTAGGGCTTATCGTATGATAAGGCACTTAAAAGTTCGAAGGAAGAGTGGGTGCTAATAGCGACTACGACGACCAATACTTGAAGATATTAATGATTAACAAGATGCCGTAGACGAGTTAGTACTAGGAGTCCGAGCAACGAGTGCTATGAAACAACCGGATGTCAGTAGATCTGCACTGTGGATGCCCGATTGATCATGGAGAGGGTTACAGGCGCGATCGCCTGGGGGGTTATGGGCGCACTGACCCGCTACTGAAACAAGCCCTTTTATCCCAATGGTCTAGTGGTTGGGATTCTGACACCGGATGCAGAAGGACTTCGAGTTTCCGGATTCTGTGTTTAGTACCTAACATGGCTTGACTGCTGCATTTTTTTAGAATGGCCTTACATCTTGAAGACACGCGTGAGCGTCACAGCGAAATTTCTCTGCTTTTCCAGAACAAGACGCTCCGACTCTAGCCGGATCGCGATCCTTCTGGTTGCTTTTGGCTCAAGCTCGCGAGTTCCATATTCCCAGTTTGGCAATGCGAGGCCAGTCGTCGTGGTTGGGCAAATCGCAGCCCGACATTGCTGCCAATATGCAATTCATTCTGTCTTGTTTGAGTCCACAGCTGTCGCTTGGTCGTCCTCGTCGAGGCTGTCGGTGTCGTCGAAAGCTACGAAGTAAGGTCAGCGAAAGGTGCATAGAGACTTCGTGCGACGTCATTTTTCATTTCTGTGATTTGTGTCAGTTGCTCGGCGAGAGTGGCAAGGCGATATTTTTAGGGAAAATATCAGATAGGGGCCCCGGAGTAGCAGTAAAGTGGCCAACTTGGGGCCTTGTGAGCCGCGCCCCTAATACGTACCCCCAAAGCAACCAGCACACCTAGGCGGCTAGGCCGAGCCTGGGGCCTGGGGCTGATAGAGTTTGATTGTGACCAGTCATCGTAAATTACCCAGAAAAACAATCGTCTAACCCAAAAAAAACAACACCGCTATGGTACAAAATATAATCCCCATTGGATGGCATATATTGGGGGGAAGCATCAACCCTAAACACCGTGCAGCAAGATGTTTAGGGCTGAGGCCCCTTCGAAGGCATGATGCACGAGAAAAAAAAATCGTCAATTTTTAAATGTCGAGTCAATTTTTTCGATGTCGTCAAGGAACAAATCGTCACCTTGTGTGGTCAGGTCTGACGGAGCGCGTGGATGAGGCTCAAAATTCGTTGGGCACAGGCCCGGCCCAGGTTCGACTCCTTGCGACACACGAGGCCCCAAGTCAGCAACTTTTCTAGAGCTCTAGGGCCCCAATATGATCACTTCCCATATTTTTGTTCGAGTGTGGCGTGGCAATGCGCTCTGATTGGTCTCGCTCCGCCCACCTTAGCTTTGTTACGTCGTCCCGGCCGGACACGGCACAGCATACCGTCGCAGAAAGTGGATCGAGGCTTCCATGCGAATTACTTTCGCAGATGATTCCACTGTCACGTATGTACTCATTACAATCTGTGCTGAGCTGGTGGACAAGTGAAAGGAAAACACATTTCCGAAGCCTTTTGCCATAAGTTGGGCATTGAGTGTACACTGACGGAAACCCCAGAATAGGTGCTTCCGCTTTCTCCAGACCTCGGCAGGGGCATTGACATCACCCTTGTGGCCCTGTGTGGTGAAGTGAACAAACTTCGCTTGCCCCTCTGGACTATAAGTGTCCAAGGCACCCCCATTCCGCTAAGATAAACGCCAACGGAATGGGCCTCCATTCGTCGGCGTCTGTTGCACCGTGTGTATCTCCAACGTCGCCTTGCGATGCAACCCGCCTCAGCTTCCCCCGCGTGCGAGCATCTCTTCGGCGCCGAACCCAGCGGCGAAACGGGCGGCGAACCCAGTGAGGGACTCCCCACGCCGAGCCATGCCATCAAGTTTACCATTTCAAACGTGTTGTCTCGATGTCATCGCGTCGATGGGATCACGCATATCCCATCTAGGGTTGGCCATCTCCACATTGGTGACCGAGCGAGCGTCACCCGCTCTGCGCCAACTCCTCTCTCGCTCCTGCCTCGGATGCTTGAGATCCTCATGCCGCGAGTTCTCGATCCATCTCCGCTGCACGGGAGTTCGTCACACTAAGGCATCTTCTTTCAACAAAATCGTCCCAAAGAGAGTGTGGCACCTGGCAGGTCTTCTCGTAGCTCGCATCATCCTGCTAACAACTTTGGAATCTCTGGTTCCAAACTCAGGCTGTCAAGCGTCTTCTTTTGCACGGAAGTCGTTGCAACGGTTCTGACTGAAGGAGCTTGAGAGCACAGTAAGTTCATTAGTGACCGTAACTCGGTGCATACCTAGGGGAAGGTGAATTTGTGAGACGTGTCAGATGATTATATTGCTGATGCATATATTTAGGCTGTAGTGGGGTAGCCTATAGGGGGTACAACCCAATTAGGGTTGGTACTTGTACTTGTTTCATTTCATAGTGTATCATTCCTCGCCTCTATCTCAACATGGTATCGAGCAGGTTCCCTAGTGGGAACTGTTCCTAGGGCCCACCTACTGTTTCGTCCTGCCCGGAGCGCGCTCTGCCCTAGCCCGAGTCGCGCCTGGGCCTTTTTTTTCCTTTGGCGGCTCGATCGCGTCGAGCCGCCCGCGATTCCTTTTTTTTGGCGCGCCACCTACACGGCCTCGTCGCGCCGCCCCTAGACGGTCGCGCCGCGTCGCGCGCCGCCCCCCTCTGACCCTCGCGACACCGGCGCCGTCTCTGACGGCCCCGCGATCGCCTGCGACGGCCCCGCCGTCCCCTCTTCCGGCCCCTCCGCTGCGCTTGACGGCCCCGCCGTCCCCTCTGCCGCCCCGCCGCTGCACTTGACGGCCCCGCCGTCCCCTCTGACGGCCCCGCTGTCCCCCCCTGACGGCCCCGCCGCTGCACCTGACGGCCCCGCCGCTGCGCCTGCCGGCCCCGCCGCTGCTTCAGGCGGCCCCGCCCCTGCACCTGACGGCCCCGCCGTCCCCTTCGTCGGCCCCGCCGCTGCGCCTGCCGGCCCCGCCGCTGCACCTGACGGCCCCGCCGCTGCGCCTGCCGGCCCCGCCGCTGCACCTGACGGCCCCGCCGCTGCACCTGCCGGCCCCGCCGCTGCTTCAGGC